ATAATTTTTGTACATTTAATTAGTTAGTAATAATAATAATAATAATAATAATAATCAAATTCTAATAATAATAAAAAAAAAAATTTTTAATTAAATTTGAGTTGTTATTGTAAACATTATTATTATTATTGTAAAATAAATAAAATTAAAAAAAAAAAAAAAATGAAATAAATTGATAATACTATCATTATTATTATTATTATTTGTTTTCATTATTTTTCCAGTGACCAATTTAAAAAAAGAAAATAATAATAATAATTTAATTACGATAAAAATTGACTAGTCATTATTTTAAGACTCTTTTTTTTTTTTTTTTATGTTATCTACTTAATCTATTTTAGCTTTTTCATTTTCATTTTCCTGTTGTTTTTTTATTTTATTTTTAATATTCCAAATTTTCCAAACGATTTGTGTCAAGAGTCCCTGAGGTTTTTTATCTTTGCTTATTCTCAACCTGTAAAATTTTTTTTTATTAAAGTTAACATGAGTTGAATTCAAGATAGATGAATAAATCAATCAATCGAAAGGTATAAAAGGTAAATAAAAATATTCAAACCTTTTGGTTGTTATGTTATGAATAGGACCAAATGCCAAAGCCACAACTGTACAAACCAAACAAATAACATTGTAAGGCATACTGAAATCAGGAGTTGGTAAAGTTATTATCATTGATTCAGTTCGAATTCTAACCAAATATCCATCTCTTGATGCATTGAAACTACAAAATTGACAACATGATACAATTATTTAAAATAAATTGGTTTATTTCTTATTTCAAAAAAAAAAAAAAACTCTTGATATTACCTGGATTCAATGTAAGATTCATTTTGTGGAATGCCAGTGTAATTTTTAGCAAGTGGTAATAAACTTGTGATAACTGATGAGCCAATATAAAAACCATGACTAGCATCTGGTGGATAATCTTGCCATTTTAAAAATACATAATCAAAATCTATTGAAACATCAACATTTGATCTCGGAGGTAATTGAACAATTAATTCTAAATATGTCGGATTCAGTCTTTGCTTCCCCGGAATATACTTAACAACAGCTGAAATAAAAAAAAAAAAAAAAACAATGTTAATTAAATTTAAACTTTAAAAATAAAGTTATTAATTAATGAAATTTTATGCCAACCTGGTTTTATTTCAATTCCATTCGAAACTATTTTTAATGTGTGTAAATATACAGGAACATACCATGGAAAATTTTCTAGTATTATAACATTAAGATGTTTCCAATGTTTATTGTATATTTTAGTTATGATACCTCCTTTCTGCCTACCGAAACCAGCCAGAAAACGATTTGCCCACAGTAAAGGAGGTTTAACACTTCCAAATTTGATATTTTTCGATTTATATGTAACAGCTATGTTGAACATTCCAGTAAATTCTTTTAAATTATAAACTGCAATATTACTTTTACTTCCACCTCTGTTAGAAATTGTAGTATATGAGGGTTTTGGATACAATTTAATTAAATTTTGATTACAGCTAGTTGTGTCTATATAAATTTTGCTTTCTTCTGCCAGAGGACAGCGATTTGGTATACCGGAACCAAATAATTTTCTTATAGAATAATCTAAATCGTTAGATTCTAAAATTACCAAGTCGTACATAAGAGTGACAGTTTGTTTTAATTCAATTGATGTTTTCGTACAAGAGCTGTCTCTACAAATATCCCTCAAATGAATTCCTAAAGAATGATAAGTAGTTGTGTGAATGTAATTAGCATTAAGTAATGATGCTAAACCTCTTTTAGAATCACAAGGAAGAAGTTTTTTCCATGGTGTTAAATTTTCTGTGCAAACAATTTCTTGAGGTAAAATTCCATACCTCAACAAATTGGGATCTTCTTTTTCTAATATTACTCCGGCATGTCTAAAACTGTAATAGGGATTAATACTATTTGTTTTATCCAAAAAATTTAAAGATGCACAAAACAATCCAGAGAGAGCTGAAGTTAATTTTTTCCAATTTTCATCAACACTGAAAAATAAAAAATTAAATTTAAAATTTTAAAAATGATTTTGTACACAATACTACTTAATTAACATAAATTATTTTTACTTAGTAGTTCCGTTTCTAAACCAAACCCAAACTTCTGCTCCCGGAGCAGCATTATAAGTAGGATATCCCCATTTTTCATATCTCCAAAGTCCTCGAGTTAATGTAATATGTAGTTCTTGAACATTAAATCTATGAATTATTTCACCTAAAGCTCTAGGAAATAAGTGACAATGTTGGTCTGAAAAACATAAAGAAAAACAAATTAAGCCGGTACAAGATAAAAACACTTTGACGGTTGATTAAAAAAAAAAACCTACATGGATTTAAATGACTACTTGTATTCCATAACGTTGTAAATTGAAAATATGAATAAACATCACCACTAGGATATGATTTTAAAAATAATTCTTCACGAAAAGAATCTTCTTTTTTACCGATTTCATTTGAACTGCAATATAAAACTGGAAATAAAAACAAAATTAAAGTAGTTACTATGTTATGAGCAACCATTTTTAAAACTACAAAATTCCATAGAGATAAAAATTTTCTGTAATAAACGATTTGAGTAAAATAATCAATTTTAAAACTTTTTTTTTTTAAATAAAAAATTAATAAATGAAAATAAAACTCAAACGTTTTATTTAAGTATTTAGTATTTAAATAAAAAACAATATAAATAATAACAAGTTTTCTTATTTGGTTCTGACATATTTTTAATTTTGTTTATGTGAAGTTTGAAATTTACGACAAAACCTATTTTATCTATTATTTTTAAAGAAAAACTTTTATTTTTGCTATTATTTAACAAAAAAATAATATTATTATTTTGGAAAAAGTGCATTCGTATTTAAAATTTCTCGTGACCTAATTAAAAAATTCTGTTAACAAACAATATTTTAGATCACTAGTGCATAAGCGCGCGCGTGTGTATTTTAAATAGCGGTTAAAAATAACGGTCGAATCAAAGTGTAAATTGTTTCAAATAATTAACCATCATTAAATTTTACACGATTGTTTAGTTTGTTTAAAATATTCTTTGAAGAATTTCATTTAAAACAATTACTTATACGTAAAAATAAAAAAAAAAAAACTTTAAAAATGAATTTACAACAAATCGCCGTCGTTTTTCTCGTAATTACTTGCATCAATTTAAATAATTCAATGGAATTTAATAATTCTACGATTTCAAATGAATTCAAAAATTTAAATTCAAGAACGGATCGAACGATTCTATCGAGAAGAAAACGTTACATTGTATTTCCGAAAGGTTCATCTTTTCAGGTGAGTTTCCGGGTAGATGTTAATGATAATTTTTTTTTTTTTTTTTGATTGTAAAAAAAACATATTTAGTTATGATTTCAAAGAAAATCTTTGAAATTTTAACTTTTAGTTGGTTTTAGAAAGTTTGTCTCGCATTCCAAGGCAAATGCCACTTGTATTAGGTCCAACAATTCAATTGGCATGGCCATTACCATCAGGTATACCTCAAACATCTCGTAAAATTAGGTCGACGATAAACAATGAAGAAAATTTTATTTATGAAAAAAAATCATCATTTACAAAAAATAATCATAATAAAAAATACGATAAATTTGGCAATGTTATGAAATTATTCACCTTGTAAGTCATTGTTAAGAAAACAAAAAAAAAAACGATCTTCGAATGATTTCTATTTGCATGTCAATAACTATTAATAATATCAATGAAAATTAATTTATTTCATTTAAAATAATAATAATAATAATAATTCTAAAACTTATTTAAAATCTTTATTTTCTACTCTCTTTAATAATATTAATATTAATAATAATAAAGGGGATTAATTTTCTTATAAATCTTTTTTTTTTTTTTTTATATTTGTAGTTGGTGTACTGCAATACCTATAACTTTCCTCTCGTCGCAATTTTTAGGTTTGGAATAACTGTTGGTTTAGCTTGGCAATTGCCAGACGATCCAGCAATATTTGCAGATCATAAAAAAAAGCATAAAATATATAAAAGAAACGTATTGAAAAAAATGGAAACAGTTATGGAACCGTAAGTTAAATTTGACAAGTACAAAAAAAACCATGATTAACAACAACAACAACTTTGTCTCTTTTTTTCATATTTGTTAATAACAATATACTTTAAATTTGTTTTTGTCAGCCATATTGAATAAAATTTTAATTAAATTTTAAAAATTTTCAACAGGATGGGTACTAATGGACAACAATGCGTTTTAAAAGCTTTATGCGAATCAGGTCAACGAACACCATCGAAAAAAGAATTTATCGTTGAAATTTTTCATAAAATATTTTCGTAAGTTTTTCATCAAGTAATTTCGTAAATTTTTTTGAAATATTACTTTAAAACAAAAAGTGTGTAACTCATAACCTTTTTTACAGGGTGAACCATGACGATGATGATGATGATAATGATACTCACGATGACAAAATGTACAAAAGAGCTCACAGATCGATAAATCAAAATTGCGACAAATTGTATCCGGAATGTCCATTTTCTATTTTTAAATCTTTACAATGATATCGAAACCTTTTTTTTTTGTTTAAAAAAAAAAATTTGAAAATGATTATTCGAATATACAAAATAAAATCCGTTAAAATTAACAAAAAGTTTAAATAAAAAAAAAAAAAATTGTTAACAAAATTATGCTAAATAAATACAAAAAAAAAAAAAAATAAAAATTATTTTAATATTTAATCGTCTAAAATTATTATTATTATTATTATTATTTTTACAACAAATATTTCTGTATCCGTTTAAATATATATTTAAAGTGAAGACATATATATTAATTTCTCATAATAATAATAATAATAATAATAATAATTTAAAACGTCATTTTTAAAAACGTTACAAAAATTTATTTGAGTTTCTAATGAAAAAAAATCACGAATTAAAATTTTTGTTTGTTTGTTAACAATTTAACAAATAACGAAACAAACAAACAAACAAACAGAAAAAAAAGGTGTACAATCACGATTTTTTTTTCTTCTTTAATTTCGTTTTAAAAAGTTTTTAAAAAAAATTATTCTTATGCTAACGTGTAAAAACAAAATGACAATAAAAAATTTAATAAGAAAAATATTAATTTTATTTTATTTTTATTTTTTAATCGTCGAATCAACAACTAAAAGAAGCAAAAGAGAATTAAAATTTCCAAAAGGATCATCTCTAAACGTAAGTAACAAATTTTGTAAAATGGCGGAATAATTTTTTAATAATAAAAAAAAAAAATTTTATAAATTTTAGTTGGGCGTTGCAATATCAAATCATTTTCCAAAAGGTTTCCTCTATAAAGGTTTAGTTCAAGTTTTGGAATTTGATTTTGGTTTTCCATTTTCACAAATTATACTATTCGATGAGCCGAAACGAGAAAAAAAACCGTTAGAAAATTATCATTATTATTATTATTTAAATGAACGCGATCCTTATTTAAATTATGATTTAATAAAAAGTCAAAAATTTGATAAAAAAAGAAGGAAAAAAAGAGATTCGAACGAAAGATTAAAACTTTCATTTAAAATTGAAAATGCATTATCGAGGTAAGACAAATTTTTCATTATTATTATTATTATTATTATTAAAAATTTATTTATTTATTTATTTATTTATTTTAGAATTGGATTTAACGGTACGGCTTGTTTTTCTCGTTTTCAATGCGAATTAATTAAATTAAAAAAATATGATACGTTTATCGAACAAATATTATTTATCATGTTTAAACCCCCGAAAAAATTTATTAATTTAAATAATTGTTTTAATTTTAATAAATATTGTCCATTTTCATTACTTCACGTTTTACTTCATTCCCTGAGGAAAATTTAACAAAAAATTAATTAATTAAAATAAAATAAAATATTATTAATTTATTACACATTATTAATAATATTACTGTAATAAAAAAATTTTTTATTTTTATTTTTAATGTGAGGAATGGCAGATTTTATTAATTATTTTTTTTAAACCTTTTTCTTTTTTTTTTTTTTTTTTTAATTACAAAAATTAATAACGAGAATTTAGGCACTTTTATGTATGTAACATTTATTTAAATAATAATAATAATAATTTAGAAACTATTCCGAAGGAATGCAAATTTTTTTACTTTCGTTGGACTCGCAATAAAATTTATTATTATTATTATCATAATACATAAGGTTTTTTTTTTTTTTAATTGACTTAGTTTACGTAATTTATTAACAATAATTATTTTTCAATATATATAAAAAATAATTTAATAATAATAATAATAATAATAAATTTTCTTATAAATTTAAATATAAAAACTAATTTCATTATTTAAAGCACAATTTTCTTTTTTTTTAATTAAACAACAAAACAATTTTCAACCTTTTATTAATTATATCTAATAGACAAACACACGCTTTTGATTCAAATACTCGATTGTATCACGCACACGCACACACGCACACACACCCACGCACGCACACGCAACTTTTATTAGTCATTCGTTCGTTAATATGTTTATTAAGGCTTTAAAAAAATGTTATGGAAAATAATATATAACAAAATGGACGTTACTGAAGACGCAGTGGCAGCAGATGATGATGGTGGAGTTTTTGGTGGTTGTTGAACGACGTCTTCGGAAACGGTTGGACTCGCTCTTTGATTACCACTAACGGATTTCTTTTCGGCACATTTTTTCTTGCATTCTGCATCATCGCATATATCACATATCGTTGCTTTTAATGGTTGGTAAAATGTACGAGCTCTTCTGCTTGAGTCGTAGTAATCGTATACGATAACAGGTACCGGTTTTTGATTGGCCACCATGTGAGTTCGATATGCGGAAATCGTCGGACAATATTCTTGTTTTATAAGCTGTAAAAGAAAGGATATTAAATTTACTTTTTGTGTTTTAAGGAAGAATTTATATTCGTTTTAAGTTTTAAATTTACTGACTTTATCAAAATACAAAATAACAACCGAATCCGAATCTTTGGTTTCAACTCTTTTGACGTTTTGACTAACACGAAGACTAGGAAGCGAATCTGAATCAACGACGAATCCAGAGGGAAGTGAAACTTCCATTACAGCCATGTTACTTTCGTTAGTTTCCTTTGTTCCAACGAATCTGATGAAAACCATCGAATTAATTTTAGATAAAAACAAAAATTTAATTTAAAAAAAAAATCGAGAATAATTACTTAGAACAAATAGAAACTTGTAAATGATTGTTGTCAGAATTTTTATCAACTTGTGGATCTAATGTGAACAATGGCCAAGCACCGGTGACATTTAAATTGAATCGGTAGGAAACTTGAACAATAGCAAAACCGCTTCCGGTAGCCGTTATATTAATTTCTCGAACTTTTTTCGGCAACTTAAAAATTAAAAAAAAAAATTTTTTTTAACATTTAAAACGTATTTAATAAGAAAGAAGCTTCATCACATTTTTTGTCTTTACCTCGTGCTTTTGAAGAATCATGGCTTTTTGGGTGTTTACATTTATGGTTGTCTGCGCTTGACTTCCGGCCTTGTAATGAAATACAGCTTGAACGTTAAAATTGGGAGAAGTTATTTTTTCGGCTAATTTAGCAAGAGCAAAAATTCCGATGACGGTATCTTGAGTAGAAGCAAATCCTCCTTCGTCATTTCTTTGACTGACCAACCATTTCATTATCGGAAAAGCATCTTCGATCAAATTCCTTTCTAAATAAGTTAACATTGCGTAGGCAGTCATTTCGACGGAAACCCCATTTGGTAAACGTTCGTGCCAAGGATTCTTTTCATCACCGGCAGGAATTGGTTTTTTCCAAAACTTCATATCATCTGAAAATAAAACAAATTATTAAAGTTGTATTAGTTATTAATTTTTATAAAGCGTAAAATAAATAAATTTTTGCTTACCTTCAGTTTTAGCTTTTTCTTCGAGGAGATGGAAAGCTTGATCTTTTGATGGATGTTCAGCTAAATGCAAAGCATAGCTGCTAATGGCAATAGCATATGGGTCTTCCAATCCATCTAAATTTTTAACAATGTAATCAACGGCTTTATCGATTGTATTTTTGAATTTTGGATTTACTTTCTGTAAAATGGCAATAAAATATTTTATTCTAAGATTAATACTCACTCAAATCAATGTTATTTGCGTAACATCATTAATACCTGAGTTTCTAAGAAAGTAATGAGTGTAAAAGCAGTTAAAGCCAATCCTTTTGCAGCTCCTCCTTGCATATCTTGATGACTCACATGACCAACCTCTGGAAAACTTCCATTAGAACCTTGATTTTTTTGTAACCAATCTAAAGCTTCTTCTATAATTCTTTCTTCGACGGTAATATATGCTCCCGCTTGTTGAAAAGATTTTGCTACGAATGCAGTTAACCTGTTGAATTAAAAGGAAAATTTTTTTAAAATGTTTTTTTAATCATAACTTTAATAAATAAATTTATTTTTAAATTCATACCATGTACTTCCGCTAGGATCAGATTTTCCAAAAGCACTGAAAGAACCGTCGTCTCTTCTGTAAGTAAGCTCTTGCTGATATCCGGTTTCTAAAAATTTCATGGCTTTCGATTGTATGGCGGGAGTCAGCTGTCGAGTGTTTTGAAGATAATTCATAACGACTATGTTGGGTACAAAGTTAAGCATGTTTTGTTCACCGCAACCGAAAGGCATTCTGATCAAATTTTGTAAATTAGGAATGCTTGGACCGAGAATATCACCTTAAAAATAATAATAATAATAATAATGATATAAAAAATTTGTTTGAAAATTTTACGCATTATAAAATTAATATTTACCAACGGCTGATATTTCGACAAATTCCGAATCGGGGACGATATTTTTGGGAAAATCTAATGTCACATTTGTTTTAAATTCACCACCCGAACGAAGATCAACAAAAATGGCTTTGTTTCTATATTGAGTTTCTCCTTCCGGTTTGACCAAAAGTTTTCTATCAACTCCATCTCCCGCTAATTTACTAGTTGCTGTTACACTAATACTGATATATCCAAGAGTTTTTGGAGTGATCATGAACGACAAGGCTTCTCCACTGTTAGGCTTTATTTTAACCGTTTTTGTTCTGTGAGTACCTAAAAAAAAATTTAATTTAAGCTTTGAACAGAATAAACAAAAGAGAATCAAAGAGAACCAGACTTACTTGGAGTGTCTTCAACTTCATTGGCTGCATCTGAAAATTCAAATTCTCCTTCGTTTTTAAGAGTTACTTCCGCTGTAACCTCTTCGCTAAAATAATTAAAAACAACAACTGGAATCGATACGATTTCTCCTCTGATTATGGAATAAGGCAAATCAAGTGAAACAAAAAATGGTCTAAAAACTTTCACCTAAAAATCAACAAAAAAAAAAAAAAATTTTTTTAAAAATTAAAATTAAAAGAAAAGGCACGTAATTTAAAAGTAAAATTTTTATACCTTTGTAGGTGCTTCAATCAATCCAAGTCCATAAACAGGATCAACTGAAAAACCAGTTAAAACCCAAGATGTGATTGTATCTGGTACGGTAGGTTTTAATATTGCTCGACCATCGTACCT